CTGGCTGAAGGGAAGTTCATGGAAAAATAATAACAATAATAATAATACAGTTCTTCCATTGGGAACCAGCTGTACTTTTCAAAGCCTGGTGTTTGCAGTTAGGGAATGAAAAAGATTCTGTGTATCACAAATCAGTCCGGTAGCACCTTTTCCTATTAATACATTTTATTTAAAAAGCAGAAACTTCTACAGCAGGGGTGTCAAATTCAATTTTATTGAGGGCTGCATCAGAGTTGTGTTTGATTGACCTCAGGGGGAACGGTGGGAGGGCATGGCCAGGATGAACATGGTCAGCTCGACGTCATTCGTGTCGGGGGCACCTGTGGTGGTCCGAGCGCCTCTGCCAGCACAAATGGGCTCCTGAGTTCCATTTTCAGCTGCGACAGCCTCCTGCAACCCTCTGCCAGCGAAAATGGAGCTTGGTAAGGCCGTGTATGGCCCTGTAGAGCTCCGTTTTCGCTGGCTGTGGCACCGTGGACCGGTCCTTCATTGTTTCCAGGGTGGCCCCATGGCCAGATCTAAGCACCCTGTGGGCCAGATCCAGCCTGCGGGCCTTGAGTTTGACCCCCCCTATTCTACAGAGCCTGGCTTCAGAGAAACAGGCTAGGCTAAAATGCAATTGGGTAGGGATTAAGTTCCGCACACTGTCGGTTAAGTTTAGCAGTTGTCGGTTCTCTCGAAACCATGGGTCATCCTGTAATGCTGTAACGCTTAGGGGACTGGAGGCTAAAACGTACGATGAACGGCTACAGGAACTGGGCATGGCTAGTCTAGGGAAGAGAAGGACCAGGGGGAGACAGGATAGCAGTCTTCCAGTAGTTGAGGGGCTGCCCCAGAGAGGAGGAAGGGGGTGAAGCTATTCTCCAAGGCACCCGAAGGCCAGACAAGGAATAATGGATGTAAACTGAACAAGGAGAGATTCAACCTGGAAATAAGGAGAAACTTTCTGACAGTGAGGACAATCAACCCATGGAACAGAAGTTGCCTTCGGAAGTTGTGGGAGTTTCATCACTGGAGGCTTTCAAGAAGAGATTGGACTGCCATCTGTCAGAAATGGTGTACGGTCTCCCGCTTGGGCAGGGTGTTGGACTAGATAACCTACAAGGTCCCTTCCAACTCCGATTATCTGTTATCTGCTTCTGTAATAGCCCGGGGTAATGCTGCTACTTGAGCTCTTTCTCTGGACCTTTCTGGTAGTATGTGCTGCTGCAACTCTACGGCCAGCATTATGGCCTGGAATAGTTCGTCCCAATCTCCCCGCATATTGTGGTTTTCTGGAGAATGCATCTGCTAGGAAATTTTTCCCACTTGTAACGCAACACAAAATTGAAATGCCAGAAATATAGTGCCCATCTGACTTGTTTTCTTCCATTAAGTGGGGAAGCGGTTTGACCAGAACAGAGAGTAGAAGCTGATCTCGGGTTACTTTGGGTGGGACCGTCTCAGCCCAACCTACCTTATAGGGTCGTTGTTGCTGCAGGGAACTAAGAGCAAGGGTGCTTCTTTGAGCCTCTGCATGATATGGAGATCAAATAAATAAAAGAGTTTAGCTATCACAGGTTTATAGATGTCTGCTGTACCATTTGCTGGTCCTCCCACGGTTGAAAGATCCAAGACATGGTGCTTTCTGGAGAATCTCTCTCAGGAGTCGGTCTTTGCTAATTAATTTCAAAGTTCCAACAGCGCAGGGGGAAAAAAGTGACTTAACACCTGGTCTTCTCATCTGCAACCTTTGCAGCATCCCCATGGTCATGCGATCAAAATTTGGGCACTTGGCAATTGACTCATATTTATGACGGTTGCAGTATCCAGGGGTGACATGACAACTGTTGTGACCTTCTGACAAGCAAAGTCAATGGGACAGCCAGGTTCACTTAACAATGACGTTGCTAACTTAACAACTGCAGGGATTCACTTAACAACTGTGGCCAGGAAGGTTGTAAAATGGGGCAGAACTCCCTTAACAACTGTCTTGCTTAGCAGCTGAAATTTTGGGCTCAGTTGGGGTCGTAAGATGAGGATTACCTGTATGTTAAGCAGAGGAAATTCCCTGGTGACTTTCTCAGCCAACCTACCTCGCAGGGATGTTGTCATGGGGCAAATTGGGGAGTGGGGGATATATCCCTCTTTGGGGGTCCTGTCATGTTGGAGTCTGAATCCAAGGAGAAAGATGAACAGCTGATAGGGAGTGGGAGTGTGTCTCCGTTGGCTGTGGAGGAAACTGGGGAAGGGCAAAGTCTGGCTGGGCAGAGCAGGGGGAGATATAACAAGGGAGAGGGAGTTCAGAGGAAGACCCAGACCCACCCCCTCTTCATCCTAGGGCACACAGGGAGGAACGGAACAGAGCAACGTGGGTTGCGTGGCTTACAGGGGAGGAAAGGGACCTGATTCCCTTCATCAGCCATAGCTGGGAAGGGAGTTTAAAAGAGAGGCAACTGAGCGCAGTGTCTTCTGGGAACAAACTTGAGTTTATCTTGTGTTGACTTTGGTTATCTGTGGTCCCGGCATCCTCCCAACCATGTTGAATTACGGCCGTTCCTTCACATCTGGAATTCCTTCTCTTGCCCTGCCGTACTAATTACCTCATCTTGCCTTGTTTGGACTTTTAAGTTACAGTTTTTGTTGACATTTTGGACTTGATTCTCTGCAGCCAAAGGCTGTTCCTGGGAGAGTTTTTCTCCAGCCAGAAGGTAACCAGGACATTGGTGGCAAAGTTGGAGCTAATAAAGAGACTCCTACTGATTATCTGACTGGGTTGCCTTTGTGCCACGCCCCGGGTCATCATAGGTCCTGGTGGAATGCCAAGATATATACATCTCAAATAAGATGTACTAAGATCTCATAAACAACTTAAAAACAGAATTTTTACTGCTTTTCATAAGTATAAAAAAACTTGCATCTGGGGTGTCTAACTGTGGCAACTTAAAGACTTAGGATTCATTTCCCAGAATTCCCCATGGTTGCCTGGGGAATTCTGGGAGTAGAAGTCCGCAGGTCTTAAAGTTGCTACAATTGGTCTTGCAACCAACCTCTTGCAAGTAGGCTGTTCTTCCTATTTTGCCTGCCAGATTTTCCCATACAAATCAATTGTGTCTGCTTATTTTGACTAGCTTGCACTTACTCCTCCCAAATGGATTAAGATCATCCATCAATATTTGACAATGACCTCTGTGAATGTATGAACCCAGACTGTAAGACTCACAATAAGGCTGTCGTGACAATCGATTATATCCAAGGCAGGCAAAGACTTGCTAGTGGCAGGTAGCAAGAGCCCACTGATAAATTACGGTGGTAATTTATAAGCCAGAGTCGCTTCACTATTGGAAGGTTCCTGTGTGCCTGGAGCAAAAAACAAGGGACATCCACTGATTCAGGGAGAAGGAAAAAAAACATGTGAAAGGGTCATGCCAAAGGTGCTTTTTTCAAGAGGCAACTGGACTTTTTGGTTTTTTCTTTGAAGACCTTTCGCTTCTCATCCAAGGAGCTTCTTCAGCTCTGGCTGGATGGTGGGGAATGAGCCAATCAAAGCTGAAGAAGCTTCTTGGATGAGAAGCGAAAGGTCTTCAAAGAAAAACCAGAAAGCCCAGTCGCCTCTTGAAAAAAACACCTTTAGGACAACCATGCCCTGGAGAAGACTGAGCACAGACGTGTGAAAGGGTCACTTTTTCAAAGCCTGAGAAAGCCTCTGACCCCCTCCTACCCAGGGCAGAAAGTCCGCAAAGGCTACATTCACAAAGCCCCCCTTCCGTATTAACCTGACTGCTGGGTCTGCAGAATGCAACGGTCTGGGTTGGCCCATCCCACCGCGGCCCGGATTTAGACTTAGACTAACTTTATTGTCACTTTGAATGTACACTAATTGTCATCCATTAAAATGAACATTTGTTGCATATAGCTCTCGAAGGGTTGCCACCTCCAATATACACTACATAGATATGACAAAATCGATATATATAAAAGCGAAATACGACTCGCGCACCGTCACGAAATCTCCAGAACCGTAAAGCCTACAAACTTGAAATTTGGCACGTATGTTCCTCTTGGCTTCTAGGTGTTCACTAAGAAAGGATTTTTCGAAATGACCATCGGAACATTAATATTTCCTATATTATTATTATTAACCCGCACTCTGATGCTAAGGAGTTCTACTCCCCCTCCCCACCTGAAAAGAAATCTCTTCCAAATGCAAAACACAAGCAGAGGAGTTTCAGTTTCAGTTTTAGTTTCACAGCACCAAGCAGCTTTAGTACAGAACAGTTGAGCTAAGCCACACCCAGGCTCCTTGCTGTCTCCTTGCTCACACAACCAATACTGTTTCAGTTTCCAAACAGCCGTTAACTCTCTCACACACTGACAGGACTGCTGGCCAGATGAATATCGATGGATGCTGGTAGGCAGAGGCAGAAAGTTCCCCCTTTATCTTCCTTCCCCAAAACTAAGCCCGATCACGTAGTTTCATAGCGAAGCACGGATATCAAGGCAAGTAACCAAATAAATACAAAATGATGCATCCACCCACATACATTCCATGACACAGAGAAAGCCGGCCTGCGGCTGGAGGAGCGTGGCGGGGTGCAGCTAGGTGCAAAAGAGTTGGGGATTCCATTGGGAGATTCGCGCACCTAGCGCGGCTCTAGCTCAGCGCTGCTTCGGGCTAATTGCTGGCCGGCAGGAGGCGCCGCGAAGCCAGCGCACAGGCTGCATGCAGCAAAGCGTCCCGCCGGCTGGCTGCGCTGGGAAAAAGGCAGCAAGCGGGGCAGGCGAGGCGACGGGAGCCGTTGGCTGGGCTGGGCTGCGTGCGAGCTGCGGAGCCGGCCCGGGCTTGCGTTTCCCGCGCCCCTCGCCCGGGGCCAAAAAGCAGGAGGGCGATGCCAACTGGCAAGGCTCCCCAGGGCGGCGGCGGCGGCGGCGGCAGGAGGGAGGAAAGATTTCACAGCAGCTGTTTTTAGTGCCTGCTGCTCCTAATTCAGCCGCCGCAGGGACGAACTTTTGGCTATTTCGGCCACGGCAGGGAGTCACAAGGCGCCCGGCCCTCCTTTCTAAGTTTAAGCCTCTCTCCGCTAACTCCTTCTTTTCCTCCTTCGCTTCTTCCGAAAGTCGACCCCGCCCTGGGAGCTAAATATAACCGCCTTCCCCTTCCTCTCTCCCTGCCTCTGGCTGGACCCTGCCCGGCGGCCGGTGCCCGAGTCGCCTTTCGGAGCCCGCCGGGGCCAAAAAGTGTGTGGGGGGGGAGGTCGAGGTTCCCAATTGAGGGAAGGGGGGTTCCTCTGAAACAGGGACCCCACCCCGCTTTCCTCGAGACCCCCGCCTCTTCTTTGCTCTGTAAGTGCCTTTTAATGATATTCTCCTTTTCTTCGCCCCTGCTCTTTTTATTGGGGGGGGGGTAGGGGGGTTTAAGGGTCTCTTGAATCTCATGGAGCAATTTGGGGGGGTTTCCTTCCCCTTTCTTTGGGCGGTTCTGGATGAAAGCCCTTCTTTTGGGGGTAGGGGGAAGCTGCGAAAGGGACTTAAAACAGGGGAAGGGGCATGGATGCCCTTCGAGGCTTGTTGGCTTCTGGGTTGGGGCGGACAGTGAAATCCAATTGACTTTCTGTGTAAAGGATATTTGGAATGACAGCCACTCCGATGGTCCATCTAATCTCCCGGCAACACAGTTTGTCCAAAAAGCAAAAGTTTAAAAAGCGGGATAGGATTAAAGGAAGTGGTTCTTACTGGATAAAAAGAGTTTTTGTGTTTCCTTTCTAAAGTCCTTTTATCCCTCCTGCAGTGGGTGCTGACAAAGTGGGCTTTTGTCACTCACTCACCCCTTGGACCACTTAAGACACTAGGTTAGGGAAAAGAAAAAAAAATTAAGGGAGCCCCTTTTTAAATCCGAACGGGTGTGTGCCCGAGCCAAAGCTGTTTTTACTCTTTGCGTGGCAAAGTGAATTGAGTTTAAAAAAAGAAAGCGCCTGAAACTTCATATGTGCCACATCTGCCAGGAGAACGTATTTGTTTTTATCTGTTTTTTAGAGCTAATAAAAATCTAACACTGCTGTATAAGGAAGGTTTGTTTTCTTCTGATTTTTATCGCAGATTGGACAGGAGGTTTTTTACCGTATGCACAGTGTGCATGTATACACACACACACTTGCATAACTTGCCTATGGTCACCCAGCAAGTAACGTGGGCATATATAGACATTAGAATAACAAAATTGTTCTGTTCTGTTCCGTTCCGTTCTGTTCCGTTCCATATTCTATTCTGTTCTGTTCTGTTCTGCTCTGCTCTGCTCTGCTCTGCTCTGCTCTGCTCTACACTATATTCTATTCTATTCTATTCTATTCTACTCTACTCTACTCTACTCTACTCTATATTCTATTCTATTCTATTTCTATTCTATTCTACACTATATTCTATTCTATTCTACTCTACTCTACTCTACAGTATATTCTATTCTATTCTATTTCTATTCTATTCTATTCTATTCTATTTCTATTCTATTCTATTCTATTCTATTCTATTCTACACTATATTCTATTCTACTCTATTCTACTCTATTCTATTCTATTCTATTCTATTCTATTCTATTCTATTCTATTCTGCCAGTCTGTTCGAGAATAAGCATGCCTGCACTTCCAGGATTTGCATTTCAGGATGCCTGCCTCAGTTTCTCCCATCTTACACTGGCAGGACTTTGCTAGAATCCCAGCTATAGCAACCCCCTCTCATGCTCCACAGATGTGCTGGATGACAACCAGAATTCTCGAAAAGGAGATTAACGCATCTGGAAGTCGAGCTCATTTTATTATGAGAATAGGTTTTATGGTTTGTATGGTACGAATTCGGTTGGTCAGCCAGGAGGAGTTGTATGAAAGAAAGTGTTAAGATTGTTGAACTACGAAATACAGGGAGTCTTGACTTACAATGAGTAGAGTAGAATAAGAGGAGAGTAGAATAGAGTAGAATAGAATAAGAGAATAGAATAGAGTAGAGTAGAGTAGAGTAGAGTAGAATAGAATAGAATAGAATAGAATAGAATAGAATAGAATAGAATAAGAGTAGAATAGAATAGAATAGAATAGAATAAGAGTAGAATAGAATAAGAGTAGAGTAGAATAAGAATAGAGTGGAATAGAATAGAGTGGAATAGAACAGAGTAGAACAGAAGAAACAATATAGAATAGAGTAGAATTACGGAACAGAACAGAACAGAATAGAAATCAGGGCTGGAAGGGGCCTATTCTAATAATTTTTCTGAACTTTGGTAACTTGAAGGTCCACCAGATTCTGCTGGCTGGAGAATTCTGGGAGTTGAAGTCCGCCCATCTTAAAGTTGATTTAGAAGAAAGCGATGCAGTTTGGAATCTTCACTTGTGAAACACACGTACACACACAGAGAGAGAATAGGGTGGCAGGATCCGCTGGTTGGATTCCCAGCCAGCCTGTCAATGAGGAGAGGGCACTTCAAAGAGGCAGCAGGACGCTGGCCCCCGGTCAACACAACCTGCCGCCATGTGCCCAAGGACCTGCCTGGCCGCAAACTTCCCCCCACCCCAGATAATTATAGAGAGAGAATAATAATGCTGCATTATTTATAAAGCGGACTATTTATACCGCGGGCCCAGAAGATGTGGCACCAGACCTCGGTGGCGGTGGATTGGCCTTCAGAGGATGACACCCCCACCCCACACACATACAGGCCGCCCCCACCCTCTCCGGGCTCAAGGGCAGGATGGGGTCACACAAGGTCCGTAAAAGGGGACTCGAAAAAGGATTTTCCCTTGCAATGAATGGCTGCACGAAAATTAAACAAAAAAAAAATTTCAAAGGAAACCAGAGGTCAAGATTTGCAGGGGGAGGATGAAGTGGGAGAGGGATGGATTGTGTGGAGTGGGGTCTTCCATTGCTGGTCCTTGTATAGCCTCTCTCCCACCCACCCCGTCCCCTAAATACACGGATTCCCCCCCCCACCCTCTTTTCATTCCATTCTCCCCAAGTTGTCACTTTTCATGCCTGGGGAGATAGTTGACATATTTTGGCTTGCTTACCCCCCCACCCCTACCAACAGATTGGTCGCCAGGGGTCAGCGGCAGGGGGCAGGACCCAGCATTCCCACATTCTCTTTAAACAGGTGCCAGAGCACAAACACCAGTTAACCCTTCGGACGCTGGTCCCGGCCTCCCACCCTTTCCCTTCTCTTTTGTTTCTAGAGATCGTAAGAGGAATTTGAACCGGGAACTTCTCGGGCTTTTCCCATCCATGTTTTCCTTTCCAGAGACCCAAAGAGACACCCCCTCCCACAAAAAAAAGGGTTTCAAAATAAAACAAGTCAGGTGAACAACCCTTCAGTTAGCGAGTGCTCAAGAGTTACAATGGTACAGGGAGTCCTCGACTTAACGACAGTTCGTTTAGTGACCAAAGTTACAACGGCAGTGGGGAAAAAATGGACGTAGAGCCAGAGGTGGGCTTCAAAAATTTTAGCGATGGGTCCTCTGCCCGATTGCTGGGTGGGCGTGGCCATGGGGAGTGTGGCCTAGTCGGCCTCCTGAGCCAGGGCAAGGGTGGTGTTTTTGCCCTCCCCGGGCTCCGGAGGCTCTCTGGAAGCCGGAAATGGGCCCGTTTCCAGCCTTCCCAAACTTCCGGGAGGGCCGTTTTTCACCTTCCCCAAGCCTCCGTGCACGCCCTGCACTTACCTGCATCCAAAATGGGCCGTGTGGGGTCTCCTGGGAGGAGCAGGGTGGGGTGGGTGGGGACAGCCAGGAGTGGGATTTGGGGGTTCTCCAAACTGTGCGGAATCTTAGCTAGAAGATCTCCCAAACTCCTGCGACCCCCCCCCCAGCAGCCCCCCCCCCTATGGAGAGCTGTTTTTTACACTTAGGACGGTTGTAGCAACCCCACAGATGTGTTATCAAAATTCTGAAATTTTTTTGCAACTGCCTCGTATTTATGATGGTCGCGGAGTCCCCGGCGGTCACGCAGCTCCCTTTGGGACCTTCTGACGAGCAAAGTCAGAAACTGGGAAGCCAGTTTCACTTCCCACGGCCATCTTACCAACTTAACAAATGCAGGGATTCGCTTAACGACCGTGGCAAGAAAGGTTGTGAAACGGGGCTAAATTTAATTAAGAACTGTCCCGATTAAATTTGGGCCTCAGTTGAAAGGACACTTCGATTCCTACCCTGGAAGAATTGGCTGCAGAAGTTGATGGAGTTGGCAGCAGGGGTGAGATTCTACCGGTTTGGACCGGTTTGGGTGAACCGGTAGTTCCGGTGATCATTTGGCTCCGCCCTCCTGCCCCTGCCCTTTTCCTGTGCTTTATTTCCTTGTTTTTGAGCACAGCTGATACGCCCGCGCATCAGCTGTTTTACTCACCGGGGCAGCAGAAGGTAAATATTATAGCTAAAAATGGTCTTTTCTAAATGCTAGGCATGCGTGCAAAATGTGCATTTGGCGCGAAGCGCGTGCTCACCAAACTGGTTATTACACCGGTTGAATCGCACCACTGGTTGGCAGAAATGGCAAAACTGACCACTTTGATTTTTAAAAAAAAGAACATAAGTACTTTTGTTTCCACATGGAAACTGCTTCTGAACTTCGTGCTTGATGTGGAAAAGGATGAAACTCTGACTTTGGGTTTTACAGATTAGACTGATCGATCTTTACAGAAATGACTGGTTCATACCATTATGGAAAAGCAAAAAGCTGCGATTTGATGCTAATGCCTTATTCTATTGCAACGGAGAGAGTCGGAAGTCAATGCTTCTTTTTCTTTTTCCTCCCCTTTATCTTTCCTCACTTCTCTTCCCCCTTTCCCCTCCCCCACTCTCACTGCTCCTGTATTTACTTTTGTATGTTGTATTTTATAATATAATTCAATTTAAAAAATGTTTACGAGAAATTTGGGGCTTAGTTGGGGTCGTAAAAAAGGGATGCAGTGGCTCAGTGGCTAAGACGCTGAGCTTGTCGATCAGAAAGGTCGGCAGTTCGGCAGTTCGAATCCCTAGCGCCGTGTCACGGAGTGAGCTCCCGTTCCTTGTCCCAGCTTCTGCCAACCTAGCAGTTTCAAAAGCATGTAAAAATGCAAGTAGAAAAATAGGGACCCCTTTGGTGGGAAGGGAACAGCGTTCTGTGCGCCTTTGGCATTTAGTCATGCTGGCCACGTGACCACGGAGACGTCTTTAGACGTCTTTGTAACGGATGAGCACCGCCCCCTAGAGCCGGAAATGACTAGCACGTATGTGCAAGGGGAACCTTTACCTTTACCTTACTGTGGTCATAAATTGAGGACTAATAGGCTAAAAGAGACCCAGTCTTCCGCTCTCCTCTTTTTAGGGAAGAAAAGATCTTTTGAAGCAGGAAAGAGGCAGGGTAGAATTCGGGATGGTACCAAGTACCCACGAACCCCGTTGGAAGCCGGGGCTTCATAAACCTCGTCCCGCTTTCCCTGGGAAAGAAGGAGGTAGTTCCCAGCCCCGCCTCATCCCAAAGATGTGTCTCTATCTTTGTGGGCTGGGAAGAAGAGAGGGCTGAGTGCAGTCACAGATCAGTTGTTTATTTCTAGAGGTTGATGTACTAGACTGGAGCTGCGCTGCGAGACTTGCCAGCTTTCCTTGCCCAGCTGTCGGGTTGCTTGAAATCCCCCTCCTTTCTCCAACCTGATGCCCTCCAGTTGTGTCCTGGCCTAAAATTCCTGCCATTCCGAAGTCAGCAGGATTGCAGAAGGCTGCAAATCACAATCCATCTGGAGGATAAGTCTGTGAGATAATATATCAGGGGTGAGGGTGAGATAATATATCATTCATATGTATGTATATATATACATATGTATGTATGTATATAATTTGTTTTATGAGGTTCTCGCGGGTATTTGTATGTGGATCTTTGGTTATTCGGGTTTTCTCCTGCGTGAGATTGGAAGTATCTAGGCAACGTTTCGATGAAGTCTCATTCATCATCTTCAGGCTTCTGTCTTCAGCTCTGTGCTTCTCAGAGTTCACATCACTCTGAGAAGCACAGAGCTGAAGACACAAGCCTGAAGATGATGAATGAGACTTCATTGAAACGTTGCCTAGATACTTCCAATCT